TATATATAATTCCATTTAAACAATTAAATGAACAAGAGTTTAATTTATATTAATAAAGAGTATTCCTCTATTTTCTACTATTATTTTGCTATAAAGAAGCACATGTTAATTAATTTCGATGTGGTATTGACAAAATAGAGTCCATTTTTAGGTCACTATTATATTAAAAAAATTATCAATTATCATTTGAAATGAACGGGAGTACTTTTAACATGAAATTATATTAATATTTATGATATTGCTTTATTTATTAACCCAAAATGTTCGAATTCCATTCTTGCAGATGGACTATGTAGAGAAAACTATCAATAGTTGAACATCGTAGACATGTTAAAATCATTTTTCAAAATTTCTTTTTTATTATGTAGGAAGAGGATACACTGAAACAGATGGATGACGGATATAGTATGTAACCAAAGTTATTATTTTTATTCACAAAAAAAGGCAATAAATCCTCTTTGCAATAACTAACAATAAAATTAAATACATTTGTTATAAATTATCATTAAATTTTCACAGGTAAATGCAAAATAATCATGGCTTTACGCTTATAAATTAAAATTTTAATATACAATTTTAATTTAAAAATCTATTATTTACATTTTCTGTAAAATATAAACAAAAATATAAAATTTGGAATTTTATGGTAAACCTATAAAATGTACGAGTTCACTCAGAATGACAATAAGTGTATTGGTATTAGAGTAAAAAATTTGTTTGCTTTACTTGAATTGTTAAACTTCAATCAAAATGATAATAAATGTTTTCGAAACGGATTATTATATATTTTGTCATTTTTAATATGTAATTGATTTCTGTTATAGTATTTTATTATTCTTACACCATTTTTTGTTAATTATTTTGAAAGTTGCAAGTTTTCAGTACTATTTTATGTCAACTATAATATGTTATGAGTGTTAATTTGAAATTATTTATTATCAAAATTTGCTATTTATTATAAAAAATATTTGAATATTTTTAAAAATCTTCATATTTGAACAGTATTTCCTGGGAAAACAACCATTAAGTAAAAAATAATGTCAGCAATTGCAAAACATTTACAAATACTGAAATACGGTTTACTTTAACTAAATTGGTTTTAAGTATAATTTTATGTTTACTTAAATAGTTCTTATAGTCATATTTTTATCATATATACGAATTTAAAATTGTTTTTTATATTTTGATTATTATATTATTATTATTTTTTATACAAATTAAGTACTAGTATTTTATCAAATTTATAAAGTAATAGGGTAACTAAATATAATATGTGGTTGTAAATTGACACAAAACATGACAGTTATGTCAATAGCTTCTACTTAATACCACAAAGAAAGATTACTCATCATGAACGCTTTCAAGTTTTACTTACCTGTCAACTGAATTTCTGGGTAAATGTAGATATATATTTATACGTTATATCAACATTTTGTTTTTTTTATCAAAGCACTATACATTATTGTTTAATGTATTCAACAGAATGTATTTAAATAATATGCAAAAATCTCACAATAAATGGTGGTAACAACCAAAACTGTCTTAAAAGAAATATATAAAAACTAAAATACAACCAACATTTTTATTAAGTAATTTAAATGCTTTTGTGCAAAGGATATTCCATTTCAATAAATTTAACTGAAACAATAAATCATACGTATAAATCTTCTTTCTTATTTAAGGTAATAAAAATTAAAGTGTTAATTGATCATGCGATACGGTAAGTTGTAATTATTAATTTATATAATTTGTTAATTACAATTTTTCTAGCAATTTTTAATTACTAAAATTGATTTCTTGAAAATTTAAGATCATATTTAGCTTTAGAATTATGAATAAACATAATTATTAAATTTGAAATTAAATATAAATGTATGTCGATCACCCGATTATTTATATTTGGAATACTATAAAATTAAGAATAATTATACGTCACTCATCGATTGTTATCCCTTTTTATATCTTTTGTTGCATTAAATTTATGAATTATATATTTTATTGGTTTATTTTCTAAGATTTTTTTTAAAAATAATAATTGAATGATTGACATTTAAAAATGAACGTGAACGAGTGTAGAGTATAATTTCATTAATATAAACTATACACAAGCAAGCATTTATTTTACTAGTACACTGTGCGTATTTTATGTGAAATGTTGTTGGCTTCATTAAACAGCAACGCCTTAGAATTTAGTACAGTGTAACACTTCATTTTTTGAAAATTTCGGGTCGCAAATTACTTGTGTAATTTGTATATTTGTGTAAGACTCTAAATGGGTTTTTCAAAAATGTATATGCAAAAACTACAAACATTATACGTAATTACATATTGTTATTTGTCAGACCGTGCATGACGACGGTCATCTGACCTATTTCAAAGTGCAATGCTAAGTTTCTCTGTTCCTAATTTTGATTTTTATTGTACTATAACATTATTTAAAAATAAAGTTTATATTTCAAAGAATTTAAATTGTTTCTTCTTTATTTCTTCACACCACTCAGGACTTTCGATTTTAATACTTTTTAAAACTTGCCCAGCTAAGAGACGCGTTTTTGTTTTAATTAATTATTATGGAATGTGATATTCATGTTTATCCTTAGTATTTATAACTCTTGTAAGACTTAATTTATCGAAGAACTTTTTTGTTAGTTATATTCTTTGCGTCTAATAAAAATAATAGTTTATTACCATCATTAGTTAGATAAATAATTTTATTCAAAATTACTATATTACCATAAAAATTGTTTTATTTAATTTTAATTTTCATAAAATAAATATAATTACTATACATAACCTTATTAATTATTAATATATAAATAAAATATTTGTGTATCAACAGAAATTATATATATATATATATATATATATATATATATATATATAATACAATATATATTTAATTAATGTAGTAAGTGTATCGCATATATTACCGAAATTATTGGATTTTAGTCATTTGTTTACTGATTATAGAACTTAAACTTAAATTGTTACATTTGATTGAATTGATGGATTTTGCTAATATTATTAAAAAACAGATCCAGTTTTATGGGAATGATAGTTAATATTTTTACTAAATGTACAATAATACAGCATTTCTCAAAGTGTGTTCCGCAGGACAATGCTAAGGGCTCCGCCAGATGCATGTGATTATTGATATTTATATTATATTTGGAAAAAATATTATTTTATATTGTTTAAAAAAAAAAAAATTGTGTTTTAAACTAATTTTAATAAAGAGTAATCATTAAAAATATTAACAGTCTCATTAAAAACATTTTTTAGAGTATTGATTTTCCATTTTTTTTTTTGTTTAGAAAAATTAGAGTTGAATTGGAATTAAAGACATTAGAGTTCCGCAAAACTATTTCTTAAGAGTTCCGTGATTGTAAAAGTTTAGAAACCGCTACAATAATGTATATATGTATGTATGTATATATAATAATCTTATATGCAGCGATCGTTCTGTACCAATTTTATTATAGAATTTTGTAGAATAAAGTAAGCTATAGTATTGGCAGATTTGAAATAATATTTTTTTAACCAACATATAGCTTTCCAAACATCATAAATTCGTGAGCACATTTAATCAATATTATACCAAATATATTAAATATAAATATATATTTATGCCTATATAAAATCTTTACGTTATAAGATTCGACAAAAATTGTTTCAAATTTGTCTATACCACGAGTCACTACCAAACCTAGTTGGAAATGTGTTTTTGTTATGAATTATTGTGTTTTGTTTTAATAATAATGAAAAATGGGGAAAAATCCTAGTTTTAAAGTAAGGGCGGCCAAATGGTCAATCGTGGACGATTTCAGAGTCGATCATGTTAGAATTTATTTTTAGGCCACATGCACAAAAATTAATCGTGTGGTTATGAACAAATTGTCGATAAGTTTTACCTGTAAAGTTTTTATCTTTTATTTTGGTTTATAAAAAAATTTTCTATGAAAGTCAATCTTCAAAGGTGAAGTATATTTTCAGTATATCGTGGCCAAAAAAAGTTTGGCCACCTCTGTTTTAGAGGAGTACAGATGAATGTTCCATTTTTTTTTTTTTTTTTAATAAGAATAAAAAACAAAAAACAAAATCGTAATAGAGCTTCGTGTGAGAAAAAAAAATTGTCAGAAAGCAATCATAACATGATTTATTAGTCCTATTATTTATGAAAGTATTCACAAGCCCATGTTTATATTATTTTGTGAATTATGATTCAAATATATAAAAAGTGATAATGTTGAATTTATTTGGATGACGTGTTTATGATACTAATAATAGTTAACAAAGTTTGAAATAAAAACAAGTTTAAAGTAACATTGCAGACCATAACAATAAATACATCTTAATTGTTTGGGGCTACGTCATTGTACAGATTTATTTTATTTCATGTCGTTTATTATAATTTTAAATTACATTTAAATGGCTCAATAACAACTGAAGTGGACCTCATGAATAAAATGTTGTTGAAGTGATTAAAATGGTTTTAATTGTTTATATTAATTTTTTCATGAAAGAAACCAAGTATGAATATGTATATATTAGAAATTCAAAATAAGTGCTCATGTTAGTATTTTTTCGTAATACTTATTTTTTTCCTCCTATCTAATTGTGGTCAATTGAGATATGCTAGTTCTTCTTTTGCCTGTTGCCTTTTTCTGTTCCATGTCACACACATACTCGTATACCTTCTTTCTCATATTACTTTCATTGACACAGAATCATTTCTTCTTCTTTTTATTTTTGATTTTACTTCCATGCTCAAAAAAGTCTTTTGAAAACGTTATCCTTTAACAAGCGTTCATCGGTCAGTTTAACTGTTCACTCCCTACACACTTGGTTTTCCATTTCGTTGCATTGTCTGGTATCAGAAACCATTGTGTATAAACACATTTATTTTATAATAGTGTACACATTAGACGATATATTTGTATTTCGAAACACTCGCGTTTTGGTATACGTTTCTCATGCGATTGCCCTTCCGATGATTTCAGATGTGTTCCTGGGACCAGTGTGCGACTATGTGATCGCGCCGGTGGCACGTTACTCGGGTGTTTGGAAGATTCCGGTGATGACGGCCGGCGCACAGGCGGAGAACTTTAACTACCGCGAGGAGTACCCGACGCTGACCAGGATGATGGGCTCGTACAAGCTGGTGGGTGAGGCGTTGCGGCACATACTGCACGTGTTCGGCTGGAACGTGGCCGGCCTGTTGTACTACAACCACGGCGTGAACTCGCTGATGGGCAACTCCAAGTGTCACTTCACGCTGTCGGCCGTGTACATTGCTCTGGGCCGGAAGCCGGAGTACGTGAGCTTCAACGACACCGCGGACAACGCCGTATACAAAGACCTGTTGAACACCCTGTCGAACAGCGCGCGAAGTGAGTGTGTGTCTAGAAACTCATCCGATCGTTATCGTATTATCATATATATGGTATTTACGCTCGAAATTGTCATTTTCAAAAATAACGTGTGCATAATGCGTTTGATTTCGTACCGAAAACACTGTGAACCGTTTTTTTCCGTTTCATATTCACGTGCCAACTTCCATAGTGCATTGTGTGGCAAGAACGGGAAGTAAGCTATTTCAGTCGCAGGCGATGGCTGCATATGACCCAAGACTGAAATTGTCTTACCTCTCGAGCCACGCGTACTAGGTATTTTTTTTCCATGGCCCTGTGTTCATGGAAAAAATAATGCAGGTATTTTATGCAACAATAAACTATTCTACGAAAACAATTTTTAATGGAAAAAAAATGTACTATTCGTAACGTTCAACGAACATATGTAGGAACAGTGAAAATTAAATATGTTTAAAAGTTTATGCGTCATGCAAGGAGTTTATATTGTGAATATAAGATTTAACCAAAAGTTTATGTTTTGTAACGACCGTGGTATACGTTTCAGTTTCTGGTTGTATCGGGAATACGCGTCCAGTACTTTTGGGATTCCCACTTTATTGCTCGACACTATGGGAATTCCCACTTTACCGCGCGCTGGATGAATGGAGGTCGTTTTCCAACGCTTTAACCGCGGTCGAAAACCAAACTTTTGGTACGGATGTGACAAAAAAAATATATGTTTACCAATCCGATGTGCATACGCATACGAAAATGGGAAAAAAAATCTTTTATACGTTTAGTTTACTTCGTCAAATGTAATCAAACACGATTATCGTGCGAATCGGAACGCTCTAAAAAGAATTCGAAATCATTGCGTCTATTGTTTGTAAATATAAATTTTATACGTATGGTTATTAATTTTTTTATTTTTTTTTGCCACCGCACCGGACGAATAATAATCGATCGACCATCACGCGATTTCAACATCCACTACCTACCCGCTATAACAATACAATCTAATTTACCCTTCGTCCGCTTTAGTGTTTTTCGTTCGACGGTCGAAAGGTTAACCGCACGTGTTGTCGGTTGTATTTCTCATTTGAAATTATGATTGCTGCAGTCGCGTTGGGTCTAGTTTTTCTGCGGACTACCATCCGATACCGAACAGAATCACATCGGATCTAATAATACAGAATTCAAGTAGGTATTAACTTCGTTTACGTTCGTAAATTTTTTTTTAATTTTTAATTACAAGGTTATGATATAAACTCTCTGGTTGATTCATTGATATTAGCTGTTCGAAAAATATTTCTGTCGCGGTTTTCAGTGTATGAAATCGGCGGAAAACGCATCATAATATATATTATCTTAGGTTGGAATAAAAAAGAAAAAAGTATTATCTTTACATAAATATGATAATTATTCATCACGTTCACTGAATTATATAGATAATTTAAAGAAAAAGTATTTACCGCATGTCTCTGTTTACATTGTTTGAAAATTAGGAACAAGAACATTTTGAGCACGACTTGAACTATCTTTAGGACGGGATTACGGCTTTGGGCCGACAACCATCAGGATGATAGACTTTATGGCTGACGGCCGATGGGCCGAATAATATATTAGTCAGACAGACTATAAAGCCGACCATCGAAGAGCCGAATAAATTATAACTTATTCAATATCTAATTATATCAATATAACTTATCAATAGTAATAAATTTAATCATTAAAAAACTAATTTAAATTCATTCAAAATGAATAAAAAATTTTAAATGTGTTGTAAATAATTAGCTCAGAAATTTACAACTTTATACTATATTTCATACTTTTAAAAAATCATCTATATTTCTATTTTGTTCTTCTTCGATGACTGCATTCAAGCGATTTTAGCTCTTTAATTTAAATAAAACACGACGCCATTTATTAGTAAAATATATACAACGAACTAATTTATGTTATCATAGTAATAATTTTTATTATGGGTGATCATTTGATAATCTTGAGTACTTATATGTACAGTTATAATTGTTGCGAGTGTGCATAGGATACAAAAGATTCAAAAGTGATCGAAGTCACTAAATACTTACAGGTTTATGTGGTATATTGCTATAGTATATTAGCTTATACAGTGAATTCAATAAGCACAGATATAAGAACATATATTATAAGAATGTAAAATTGTAAACATTTTATTTTATATTATAAGTATTTTGTCGATCCCATTAATTGTCGGCCCATCGATCCTTTCCTCTATAGGACATGTTCTCTTTATAACAAGTATGGTTTTTTTTTTTTTTTCGGTATTGTTTAGTTTCCTAGCATATGCAAAAATAAATTTTTATGTATTTTAAACCTATTAAAGAAAGGTCATAAAATGAGATTAAAGTAAATTCACTATCACAGATTTTGTAACTATAAAACGAAATGTAAATCTGACGAAAATATAATCTAATATTTGATTTAATCACTTTTTTTATAATATTATTTTAATTAATTAATTTACTTTTTGGCGTAAATTAGCTGGAGAGTTATTATAAAACTTAATATTAATGGAATATCGGGTTTTTACAAAATATATCAACAGTATGGTTAGATTCATAAATCTTACAATTTTTATAACTAACCCAATTCGCATAATATCCGTGCTGATTATTATTATATATTAAACATATTAGATTACATATTATAGTAAATAATACATTTCCAATAAAATAAAGGGAGGGTTAAAATCCATTACGTCTGTGAATTTGAAATCTCCCTTCCTAAGGACTAAGATTTATCCGCTACTGTAATAATATTATATTATATATATGACAAAACAAAAAATAATCTCTTTCAGTTTTTGGGAAAAAAATGTAAGCATTAGTTTAGCTTCCAAATATCGTAATACGAAATAGATATATCATACATTTGAACTCATACATCCAATGAATGTTGTACGAGTATATTTATGTGCCATGAATGGCCGAATGCTCTGCAGCTGCAGATTAATTCCTAGGAATTAATGTAAACCGTCGATTTTTTATTTTATAAATTATTTAAAAAAACTTTTGACTTAACTCATAATGATATTATTGATAATAGAAAATTTCAGTCTATAAAAATAAGAAGATATTTTGTTTTCTAAATATTATTTATAAAAATTCAAATACTTTATCTAGATCTTACTTTTATAAAAAAAAATAAAATAAATCAATACCCTACTTATATAATAATCAATAAATCGTTAGGGACCTAACCTAATTTTTATAACGCAATTATTCTTATTCGTTTTATTTTTGTATAGTTAAAAACTGAATAAAATTAGTTATTTGACTTTCAATTACAACTAGTAATTAGATAAAACCATCATACTCAATATTGAGCATTAAATTAAGTAAAATAGTTGCTTGAATAAACGTTCAATAAATTGATTAAAATGTTCACTTTGAAAATATACAGTCAAGTCATGGTAATTCTCATCTGTTAAAGATATCCAGTTATTCGGAAAAAGTAATTTTATAATGGATGCATTTTAAGGAAGAAGGTGTGTTATTTAAGTTAACGAGACTGGAGTGTAAAAATATAATTATTTATAGACGTTATAGTCATATATAATACTAAAATTTTATCGTTCTAACAAATTAATTGATGTTCTGTTTCATATGCTACATATGGCCTACACGCTGGTGCTGGTATTTTAATTCAATTAATATTATTAGTTATTCATAAGGTTAAATATTTACGTTTTAAATAATAAATTCAATGACTGAATACTGAATTAAATCTAAGCATTATTTTTATATAGGTGAAATATTTTTTACAATATTTTTTAAAAATTGATTTGCTTCGGCAAAGAATAAAATACTTTTAGCTCTTAATCGTGAAATATTTATGTTGCTTTGACTGACATTAATTGTTTTGCAATGAAAAGTTATAAGAATTTCAAAATAATTGTTTCCTTACGGATCATCATTATTATTAAGAGCTTTCTGCATTATAAAATTAAAACTCAATAATCAGTAACAATTAGAAATCTTATTAATATATCAAAATGTAGTTTTATATATTATATAAAGTAGTTTTGTAGGTTCTCTATCTTTATTTAGTAAAAAGGTCGTACTATTATGTCAAATACTCGAGAAAAATATCTGGAAACATTTTTTATACATATTACCTTATAAAATAAAATATATGTAAGTTATGTACAATATTTGAGTGCATTTTTATTTTATAAATATTGAAGTCAAGTATTATTGGTTTTAAAAATATATATAAATATCTTATAACATAATTTAATTTAATTATAAAGTATTTCAATATCAGTTGGTAACAACATTTTATTATTTATTTGATTATTTTTAAAATAAAGATGTTTGCTAAAAAAGCTAATTATGAGCAAATTATATTTGTAAAAATACACAGAACATATAAAATAACATTTTATACTTACTTAAAAATGCAATGTACGTGATATATCTATAAGTATAAAATTAAAACTTCTTAAAGTGAACATAGATATGTAATTGTTATTTAAAAATTAAATTTTTTTACTAAAATATTAGTACTTAAATTATTATATTTATGTAATTTTGGTATGAACAATAGTACTTATTAAGACTAATTTAAAATTTAAAATTTATTATTAAGGCTCTCCACTCATTACGCGATTTCGTCCACTCGCGATTTTCAAGCTCAATGAATGATCCATTAATAACACGATTTCATTCAACGCAACTGTGATGCGAGCGACATGTGCGATTGACAGTATTACTAGTTACCTGGCAGTCGTATTGCAGAAATTTCGTGCAAATTACTTTCAGTTTTATTACTTTTTGATTTGTATGAGGAGATGTCTTTAAGATAAATTTTTTGTTGAGGTTGAAAGACATCCACCCTTTTATAATCATACCATTCCCAACTATTGTAAGGAGGATTTGGTGGAAAAGACATGGAATGTTTTCTACTAGTTTTTTATAGGACTCTCTAGACATACTATAAAATAACAAACATTTTGTATGGGTTCCATGTAGTTCTCTGATTGTTACAAAAGTTCG